TAGGGAAAAAAAGAAGAAGAAAGTCAGGAAGCAAATTTTCACCTAATGTGTCAGATTAATTGAACTAGGTAAGACTTCACAGAAAATCAGTTGAGGGACGAAGAAGGTAATGAAGATTTGGAGGAATTGCTTGAGAATGTCCTGCAGTATTCAACTTTATTCTCAGTGTCCAGGTTTTATCACCATGCTTTCCATCACCCTTTGCGTAGTCTTCCCCCTGCCACAGCATTTTGGGCAGGGGATGGTGTCGGCTTTTTGTGGGAGAAGGGGCAGTAGAGGAAGGCCAGGCATGGCAAAGAGCAACTATATTGGGTGACAGGAAATGTGTAAGAAATAGACCTGGTCCTTGGTACAGTTAGAATGTCCTAAGACACAGGTAAGTGTACCCTGGTTCTGAGACGGGTGAGGTGCCAGGACAATAAAGAACAGCTCTTGATAACAAAAACATTTTAAAAATCCTTCTCAAAGGTTTGAAAACAAGATGGGAACTGTGTGACAGAGGCAGCTTTTGCTATTCTTTTTTCCCGCACTGACATTTTTGTTGTAGCAGAAAACTTATGCCTCACATTGACTGACATGCCCCAACTGGAAATGAGAAGGGTTTTTTTTTAAATGAACAGTCAGCTCCAAAAAATGAGGTGGAGGCAGGGAAAAACCACAAGGTTGATTTTAAAAACATTACTGAGCCCTCAGAAGTGGGAGAGGAAAATACAAAAATGTAAAACGAGCTCTTCTCTTGTATCGGCTGTTAGAGTTGCGTGTATGAATACTTTTGCTGGTCTGACGTTACTCATAGTTTTTCTTGGGGAAAACATCACTTTTGGCCTGAAACCAAGCACAGTTTCAAAATAAAAGCAATTTGGCAGGTTACAAGCAATTTTATGAAGCGCTGAAAGGTCAAATGGAGATTGGAATTTAGCATTAAGTATAATTGGTACTATGGCACATCATAATAGGCCAGGTTTAAGACTCAAAGTTAGCAGAATCCAACCCATAGGATCTTGGGCCTTTGTAAACTCTACTGCAATGCTACTCCTACTGAAATAAATTAGCATCAGTAATGGCAGCAGCATCTTGTCTTGCACAACTTGTTGGGTCAGAGATACGGGATTTTTCTATTTTTCAGATGGTCTGCAAGCAATATTTCAAAATAGTTATATTCAGATTTATTCAGTAGAGTTCATATGTAATTTTTGCTTTTGATAGAATGAGTGATTACTTACAAGTCATTTATTACATGTATTCAATTTTTAAAATAAAAACTCTTTAAGCTTGTTAAGCGGAATTTATTTAATTTGTTCCCTAGCCGGGTAACACAGCACGGGAAGTGCTGAGCACTCGTGCCATAACCCAGATATGCATGTGAGTGCAAACAGTCCCAATGAAGGTTCCAGGAACTGGATTCCTGTTCTGACAATGATGTATTAATAAGCCTGACTTTTTGAGCACATTCCCAAATATTTACCTACCACTAACTAGATGTATAAAACATCCCTCTAGTGAGGTGGTCTTCCACGTTTCCATCCACACACACTTGTCAAATGTCAGTTAAAATAAGCTGTGAACGTAACATGGTATTTTTAGGAAAACTCTATTGCTTTTTTTTTAAGACAGATATCCTGGCACTTACCTTCTGACTGAACTTCAGTTTTGACCCATGCAGCCACTTTCTTAACACTGTCTGAATCTCTCACATCTAGCAGTACTGTCTGAAGCTGCTCCGAGGTCACAGCTTTTAGCTCTTTGGCTCCTATTTCAGTCAGACAGCTGGCAAAAACACGAAATCCCTTTTTATCAAAAATCTTTGCTGCCATATTTCCAAATCCTGTGTCACATCCAGTGATGAATATATATTTTCCGGTGAGATTTGTAACCTTCATCCTGTCTCTTGCCCTCCAATGCCACCACAGAGAGACGATGCCAAGAAAGAGTAATACGTAGAAAAGCATTTTTACTGAAGTCTGCTGGACATGTTCTCCTGAAATGAAAAAACAAAAAAGCTGCTAATTTTTAAGGGATTGTTAGTTGGTTGGTTTTTTTTTTTCCTTGAGTTGGCTAACTGCAACTATTCAGAGAAGCAGGCACAATTCAGAGCAGTGGCCTCCTTACGGTAAAACAAAAAAAATCGTTCCTTAAGCATAAATGAGAACTGGAGATACATTGTAATAAGGTGACAAAGAATGATGCATATTAAGTTGCTGCTGCCAGGTCAGTAAGCTCCCATTGAACATATCTGGGAGAAATGCTGACTAGAAAAGACTAGCAAAAATGAAATATTTGCATGGAAACCAACAGAAATGTCTGAACTTAGTGTCAGTTCATAGAGAATTAAAGAGTAAGACTGGGGCCAGCTGGCAACAAAAGGTCAAGCAATATCAGCAGGACCCAGAACCTTTCTCGTTACTGTGGATACTTAAGCAATGATAGCGAGGAAAAATGATTTACTTTATTTTACTAAAACCTTTGGTTGTCAGTGCCAGACTCTCAAGAAGGAGGGTAGCAAGTACTGCCACTTTGCCTCTCAAGAAGTAAATTCCCACCAGCTAGGCTGTGGGAGTGTGCGTGTGGTCCCTGAGCATAGGAAGGAGGGTGCAGGTTGGAGCACTTCATCTGCTGGAGTGCAGCTCAGGAAGTGTGACAACATCAATACTGCAAAATATGTTTGGGAAGAGCCTGCGTATCTGGGATTATACTCCAGTAGACTTAATAGTGAACTTATAAGTAACTATTGGTGATGGATGAAATTCTGCTTAGAGAAAACAATTCAGTTATACTTCTTCATGAGCGCTCATGGCCCGGAAAACAGGAGATATCTAATGCAATCGACTAAAAAAATAATTCTAAATAGACGTAAAGGAGTGCAGATCTTTTTAGAGATTGCTTACAGACAATCCATCTCTGCAGAGCAAGATGCAATGAAGTTGCATTTACTATGGCCAAATTCTCCTCTGGCAAAACTTAATTTAAAAAGAAATTGCAAACACCTGACATATTTTTAAGCATCATAATAGGAACAGGAACACTGCTTTTATTTTCTGCACGTAGAACTGATTTCTGCTCTGACACGGGAGGTTCGATATATCTCCATTTTTATTGCAAACCCCGTGGCTGCTTATGGTGCTTGTTTACATAAATATGTGTGCTGGTGAAATGCAGCTTCTTGTGCTGGCTGGAAGTTACCCAGGGTGTTGCTAAAGTTGCAATGCAGAGATGCTAGTTTTTGTTGCTTAACTTCCTGTGCAGCATCAGTAGTGAAGAAAGTATAAAGAAGTGATTAGGTAACTGCCCTCCCCGTGTAGTATTTCATGGTTCCTTTAAGACAAGGAAATTTTTCTCTCGGCGTATGTACTCGTGCATAGCAGACTCAGCACAGCAGCTGGCTTTCCTTCTCCTGCGACCCTTATTAAAATTACCATTCTCTTTATAATATCCCTTGCTCTGCTTGGAGTTCCCATATTCCTTTGCAGCCTTCCTTCACCTGCAGCTGAATAACAGCCCGGGCAGTCCCTAGCTGTTACACATCAGAGCCAGGGCCAGGCTTGCTCCTGGAGGCTGTGCGGAGACTTGGCCTCCTTGGCACGGAGGCACAGTTTCCCTGCCACTCCTGCCCTCCCACGCTACCTGCCCCTGGACCTCAGCCATGCCGGACAGCTGCACCTCGTGCGTGCTAAAGCCTGTGCAGGGTCCGGCCCCGGCAGCAAACTGGAGGGCCCGGGGACGGAGAAGGTTTAAGAAGAGCCCCTCTAGAGAAGGAGGAGACAGAACTGTGTTTCATCACGCCCTACTTCAATTATAAAGTAGATATAAAATATAACTAGTAAATTAACATAAATAAAACAGAGTTTTGGCCAGATCTGTAATCTGGTCAATAAATAAAAATAAAAGCTAATTTAGCTAGACTGAAGAAAAAGGCTCGCCTAGGCCCATTTTTGCCATGGCAACAGGCACGTCTACAAACATGGGACGTGGACAATCAGGGTTAACTTCTGGTCCCTGTGATCTTTAATCAATGGGTCTGTGTGACTTTATCAAATTAATAAAGTGCTGAAATTACAAGGTTTTCAGTTGGAGTGCTTTGTACAGGCTATGTTTCCAACTCCAACCTTCCAGAGAGACTGACAGGTCCAGCGCTTGCCCACAGTGGCCTGACTTTGCAGTGAAAAGATCTACCTCCAATTTTTTGTAGGGGCCACAAATCAAAAAACAAAGAAGGGCTCATCAAGAAAAAATGTATTTTTCTCTAGTTTCTAGGAGGGAGAGTGATAAGAGGCACTCAGTCAGAAGCCTCAAAGGTGTTTGAGTGGCAGCATTCAAGAGTGGTTGGGAAAGCGGAGGTGCAGGGGACAGGCAGGCTGATGTGGACATGCCACCTTCTGACAGGAACAGGCGAGGTGACCGCGGGGCCGGTTGCCCAGAGGGTGGGGCAGGCACTCTCAGAGATGTCTTTGTGAAAGAATTTTTCTATTTTAACATATTCAGTCACTTAATTTTGATATAAAAGTTATAGTTCGCATTTAAAATTTACAGGGGTTTTTTGGTTTTGTTTTGGTTTGGTTTTTTAGAAGTGTTGTTGCTATTGCTGCTATTTTTATTTGCACAAGTGTTTGGAATGGAGAAGAAAATCCTTACCGGCTGCAAGACTTGGGTAGGATCAACGGGATAAGTGAGTGCATGTCCTGCTTCTGGTACTTTCCAAGAGCAGATGGTGAGAGGCTAACTACAGAAACAAGGCGAGTAACTAGAGGTAAGTCCCTTGCTGCCTACCTCCCAGCCTCCCTGCTGGACCCACTGCAGATGGTATTTTGCAGTTTCAGTATAGCATATTTTTGTGATCAAGAAATAAATGTACCATGACTTAGTGTCTCTGATTGTGATTTAGACCATGGGAGAAGAAGTAAGTTTGTTTCTTCGTGCTAACCTCTCACCTGGAGGTATCCGCTCCCAACAATCACCAATTTGGACTTTTTACTTTCCATAACAAGAGAAAGTCACAGAAATGACCCCATTGTGCCCAGAGGTACTTTCCTTATTTCACTGTAAGGAAAGTATCTGCTATTCCCCGTTTCAGTATGAATAAAGGTAGTTTGATTGCAAAAAAAAGGAAATTGACTTCTTATCAATGAACAGCTTTTTGCTTGCAGCAAAAATGATAAAACCCAGCCATCAAAAGAGGAAGTCTCGCTCCTAGGTGCAAAAAGGAGGTTTCCATGTACATTTCTTGCTAAAGATTTTTGGAAAGGACAGTAACTTTTTCAAAAGTCATGCTGCATCGAAGGAAATAATGTACATATCCACCTCATGGGTGCCATGCCATTTTTAATAGCATAAATCACAAATCAGTAAGCTCTGTGTAAAATTCACTTTGGATTGTACAAAGTGAATACTAAGTCGTGTTTGTGTAACTGCTGTGGTGCCAAGAAAAGAATGAAGACACAGCATGTGGGTACTTGCCAACCTGACCAACTGTGTGTGTGTGTACTGACCTTTCCCGAAGGTTCCCACTCCTCCAGTCTCTGCCCTGATCAGAGTCCCACAGAGGAGCTTCTTCTGTTCCAGCCCAGTTGGTTTTGTCCTCTAGATACCTTTATAACTGTGAAATTTTTTTTAGATGAATTTCATTAACAGTATTTAACAAGTGACAGTCCAAGAACAGATGTGGAAGTCATCTGCCTAATAATTCAAGCTGCAAACTGTATCTGCTTTATTTCAATTGCCCCTTACCTTAAATCAGGGTACCAAAAGAGAGCTGTAACTTGTTTTTATTTAGAGTTCATTTTACTTTCACCTTCATACTATTTAGGTGAAAAAATTGTGGTAGCACGTGAGCAAAATAACAAAAAATATTTTCAAAAACTGGGAGAAATAAAGAAGCAAACAAAGTGTTTTCCTTTGTTTTTCAAAGGATCAGAGGACAGGAAGATAAAGCATCATGCAGAAGTAGAAGTGTACTACAATATTGAGATCTGCCTTTCATTTCTGACACTCTGAGGTGCTATCGCTGTAAGTGGCACAATTAAGATGGGGATTATACTCAAGTGAAAAATCCAGTGTCTGGCTTCTTGGCCCTGGAACCACTGTATGCTAGCTACAGAAATAAATTTGGCTATGAATGGTTAAAAAATAAATTAATAAAGCATAAGAGCTGTCTGCTCAATGCCTTCTGTCAGGCAAGAGAGTCCAGACTGCTGTAATTGCATACAGACTTTAGCGCAAAACACAGATACAGGCTGGTCATCTGGAGTCTCAGCCTGCAGTGGCAGACTGAGTCTATTCACCTGGTAGAAAACTGTGGCCACCTACTCCTCCATAGCGGCGAGCACTCAGTACTAAATTTCTGGCTATCTTTAGGAAGCTTTGGAAGCATTTTATTTGATTGCTGCTACTAGCTGTTGTCAATGCTGGAATAAAGATCAATAGGTTATAGACTACAGCTTAGAGCTGAGGAGTCCTGTGCCAAAAGAGCGCATGGGTTTTCATTTCTTACCGAGAAATTATCTGTCTGGGAATAACTAAGATTAATTTTATTCACTTGCTCTTATGAACTGTTGGAAAATATCCAGAGAAGAGAGGATAACTTCATTTGGAGTGGTAATATGCTGGAATAAACAGCTACTCAACTTGAGGGAAGAAGCAGTTCTTTTACTGTATTTGGCTCAATGAATTGTGATATTTTTCTTCCTGTGAAAGAGGTATTAAAATGACATGAGCTGTAAGCAAAATGTTTCCCTTCAACTCAGACCATGACTGAGGGGAATTCTCCTGACAGTATTGTTCATCTTTCATGAACTAAATAGTATCTATAACCTACCAAAATTCAGAGGCTTTACAAGTGTCCCCTGTGAGAATTCAGGGATGGGAGCATCTGTCCTCAGTCTCCTCGATTTACTGAAGTCCTGCTCTCTATTGTTTTAGTTCAGTGGCTAATTCTTCATTCACTGAAGGGCTGACT